TGGAGGAACTAGTAAAACAGGCTGTCAAGGCCATGGCCAGAGGAAAGTACCCTGTTCTATGAAGCAACATGGGACCACATAGGGCCTATCCTGCTCAACAGCTACAACAGAATAGTACTTCAAGGTGGTACGCTAACTGAGGACATGAAACTTGGCATCATCACGCTAATCTACAAGAAGGGTGACAAGTGCAACGTCCGAAACTTGCGGCCCATCTCGTGCCTCAATGTCTCTTACAAGATACTCGCCAAGGTCCTGGCTAGAAGGCTGGCTCCTCACCTTTTAACGTTAGTGCATACAGATCAAGGAGCATTCGTGCAGGGCAGATTCATAGCCGAGAACATGCTGATGGCAACAGACGCGCTTGAGATCATCGAAAAGGAGGACAGACAAGTGATGGTGGTAATGCTCGACCTCGAAAAGGCCTACGATTGAGTTAACTGGTCTTTTGTTCTGGCCACCCTGGAGCATATGGGCTTCGGTCCCATCTACAGACGTTGGGTTAAGGAGCTCTATAGTCAATGCCAACGGGTTCCTATCGCAAACATTCTCACTCACACCATCATTGCGTCAGGGATGCCCTCTCGCATCACTACTCTTCACCGTTCAGATGGAGGTTCTCTTGAATGCCCTCCGAGCCGCTCCTCACATTCGAGCATTGGACCTGGGAGACGGTGATACTATGCTCACCGGCGCCATTGCTGACGGCCTCCTGCTCACCATGGAGGCAGAACCAGAATCTATAAACAGAGCCAAAGCATTGTTGGACTCGTATGCGCAACTGTCGGAGGCCCGGGTCAACTGGGACAAATCTGTTTACTTCATACCAGCAAGATATAACCTCCCAAAAGCAGACTGGGGCATGAAACGAGTCCAACCGGAGGTGTCAGAAAGGTACATAGGTATGCAAGTCTCTCTCACCAATGCACAACCGAAGCAACAAGCCCTCCTTCGATCCAAGAACACAGGCTAACATACAACGATGCAGGGTAGCAGTGGGGGTCTCACTTCTCGGCCGGGCGCTGCTACTCACCTCTGTTGTCTTCGCCCAACTTTGGCATGTGCCAGCAGTATGTCAGTGCTTGATCTCCAAGCCAACAGTTAAAGCGATTACCTCTGACGCCGCCAGGTATCTTTGGAAGCCAGGAGCTCAGGAGGAGCAGGGGTTTGTTCCCAAATGCGCTTGGACAAAGGTAACAACGGCGAAAGAACAGGGGGGATTGGGTGTCATTGACTCGCAGAAGCAAAAACTTGCACTATTCACCAAGTGGCTCCTCAGGGCGGCGATGCAGACAGAAAGAAAGACTTGGATCGCCATATTGGAATACCTCCTGCAGCAAAAGCTTTCACTGGCAAACAAACAAGATGTTTGGTTCGCTGTTTTTATGCCTTCCTTTCTGCGCAGGCAGCCACGATCACAGCTGGCAGGAGCCTGTTGGACAGCATGGAGGACTCTTGCTCCATTGTGCACTAGCGAGACGACTACGAGAGAGGAGGTTTTGATGCAGCCCCTATTTGACAACCTGCAAATTCTTAATAACCAGGGGACACCCTTCTCAGCTACAGCCACCCCGGGCAATTTCGGGAAAAGATGGACAGAGAAGGTCTGATCCGGGTACAAGATCTGTGGAACGAAGACTCACAGGAATGGTCCACGGAGGAGGACATCAAGCATAAGTTGGGAAGGCTCCAGTTGGTSGCAGAAAGGAGGACTAGTCTGATATCAGCGATCTGCTTTGCTCAGACGACCCAGTGCAGGGGAAATGGTACTCCCCCAGTGCAAGAATGGGGGGACAAGAAGCAATCCAAGTCCTAGAGCAGTTGCTAGTGGACAATGACACGTGGCGGGCACAGACTTGGAGGACAGTAGAAGGAACAAGATATATCGGGAGACTTTCAACCTCAAGGCATGATCGCCCTACACTCCACATGCGACTTGCAACAGATTCGAGTCCACACTAACACCAGGAACGGCCGTTCAGCATACGATATCATAGCCAAAGGGACTCCATTGAGGCTGCTGAGGATAGACCCGATGTGTCATTATTGGTACCGGAGACAAGGTCGCAGGAAGTGCCTGTACCAATACACGACAGGGCTGGGAAGGCTTCTTCAAGTGAAAGGGGAACCACTCCCAAGGATTGCTGCTGAGCGTTTAAACAGGTCTGGCACCTCGGACAATCACAGTATCACGGAGGGAGAAATGAAAACTCTCTRGGCACAACTCCCATCTCTGCCATCACAAAAGCTAGCGGGGCTTCTATGGCTCATGTCGCATGCCGCAGTCCCCTGCTCAGTAAGGCTGTTCGAACAAGGAATGGACATTGAAACCAAATGCTTGCGCTGTGGAAGAAGAGAGGAGGAGACGCTACAAGACCTGTTCTGGGACTGCCCAGCATCCAAGCGAATCTGGCGCTGGTGGGAGCAGCACTGGCAGCGCTTCGTCGGCCCTCTGCTGAGTTGGGACGAGACATGGGTCCTACACGGTCGCATTCCAGAAACTTGGTTCAAGCACACAGGGCGGGGCTATGTAGCGCAAGCCATCCGCTCTATCCTCATTTGGGTCGTTTGGGAAGACCGCAACAGCGTCCTGTTCAGGGAACAATGGTCGGCGGACGACACGTTAATACAGAGGATCAAGCACTGGATCCGGATAATGATTCGGGTAGACTGGAACAGGAAAGCTGCAAGGGGCAAATCCATCAGAGGCAAACACTGGTTTCTGGCTACCTGGGCAAGAGACAACCAGCTGGCGGCAGTCACACACGGGGGCAAAATGGTGCTCTCCCCCTGGCTTACTGCTGAGAAGTAGCACCTTCCGAGGCGTCGTAATCCCCCTCTCATCCCCCTCTCTATTCTGAATACGCACCCTTGTTACCCTACCATTATCTCCCCTCTCCTGTCTGTTCGTGGTTTTGGGCCCCTCCGCCCCGGTCCCCCCCCTACGCTCTTCTCTGTTATGCTCTCCTCTGTTATCTCTCCCCCCCCTCTCAAGCTTCAATCTATCCCCCGGTGAACCAGGGCACTCGTTTCAAGTTGACAGCCGCAGTAGGCTACCTAGGGTAGGGAGGGTAGGGAGGGTAGGAGAGTGCCCAGGACCTAGATTAGGAGTCTGTAATGCCTCCTCGCGGCTGTGCTAGGCCGAGTTCAGGCCGGTTTAGGCCTGTGCAAGTCTAGGTAGATTGAGCCAGTTGTCTAGGGAGGTTTAGAGGCTAGATAGGACAAGTAGAGGGACTGTTGCTCAGGGAGAGTACAACTTAGTGGACAACAGGCTGAGACATTCCAGAGTACAATGAGGTGAGAACTCGTTTGTCAGGCCAGTGTTCAACACAGCTTGACTTTATCAGACAGTACCGTTTGGTAGAGGCCGTAGCGTAGGTCTCCTGTTCAGGCTGAGGATTGTAAGCTAAACCGGCTGATGCTGCCGGGATAACTCCGGGTTGAATTGTGAGGTCCCCGGCCTCAAACCTTCCCTTTTGGAATATAATTCGACTTTTTGGGGAAAAAAAAAAAAAGAAAAAAAAAAAAAAAAGAAGGGAAAGAAAAAGGTTCCCCCTGTAAGCGTGCCCTCAGGACGCATCTCGAAGGAACGTCGCAGTCCCTCTCGTTCGGGGTTATCTGCCCGATTGCGAAGCATAGCGACTTGGCCGTCCCGCCTATATATTTTGTGCCATGGAAGCATGGTCCTAGCTGTTCATGACGGCCAGGTACACGATTTCTTAGCAGTACCTGGGCATCAGCGCGTCCTCGCCTTGTGAAAAGTAGGAGCTTCCCACGGGTTTCTAGAAAAGACCGTTTGCCCCGAGCACAACGTACCCTTATTTTGACTGTAGCGGGCCGGAAACATCCCTTGTATACGTTCATTTTCAGGGTGCGTTATATTCGGGGTAAAGCGGTAGCCCACAGGAATCGACGATGGCTTCTGATTTAAAAAAAAACGAAAAAACAAAAGGCTACTGACCGGAGCTGCGTAGCAGTCCAGGAGTGGCCGACCACATTTGGAGGTTTCCAGAAGTCGGCGACCGCACGGTGGAACTTTACTGTGAGTTAAAAAAAAAAAAAAAAAAAAAAAAACTTACTGTGAGTCATTTCGAAGTCTCCAGAAGTCGGGGACCTCCACCGCCGTCATTTCGCGAGGTTTCCAGAAGTCGCCGACCATCTGGTTTCATCGACCAGGAGTTTCTGAACACGTTTTTGTTTTTCTTTTTCTAACCACATTTTGGACGTCCCCAGGGGTCAGGTACCATTAGCAAAGAGGATTGGATTGAGTTCCTGAACCTGGACGAGTTTTGCGCAGAGATGCAGAAAAGCAGATCCCATCGGAATGTTTTGCATTTTTCCACAGACAAGTCCAGATTCAGGAATCAAAGCCAATCCTCTGTGCTACCCGGTAGTGGGACCAAGCCCCAGAACTTAGGGACCACATGGTGGAATCATTGAAGCGCCAGTCCTTTTTGATGTTTCCAGAAGGGGGCGCCGACCAACACCGGCGCCCCTTTTTTTGATGGAGTTTCGAGAAGGCGCCGACCACCACCCGCGCCTTTTTTTTTGAAGTTTCGAGAAGGCGCCGACCACCACCCGCGCCTTTTTTTTTGAAGTTTCGAGAAGGCGCCGACCACCGCCCGCGCCTTTTTTTTTGAAGTTTCGAGAAGGCGCCGACCATCGTTTTCAAGTTTCGAGAGTTTCACGAGGTCCCCGCGCGCCATCGCATGGCGCCGGAGCGCGACACGTGGCCGCGGACCACAGACGCGCCGTCTCGAGGCGCGGTCCAGGCGCGTCTGGCTCCTCCCAGCGGGAGCCTCCAGCAACCCCTCCGCCCTACATCTCGCCAGAATCGGAGGTCGCGCTCAGCTCTATAAATACTCTACGCCTTCCTCAATTGGGCATGTCAATCTCATAGTACTATCAATAATCTCGTTGCCAACTACTGATGCGCTATTGCATTCGACGAAGGCACTCAGAGCTTCAGGTGGACAACTGATTCATAGCTCTCCGTCGAGACGTTGTACCACTCTCCCTTCATTCGTATTTCAGTGGAGTGGTCGGGCCGTCTCTCAGTCACCATAGCAGGCTGGCCAGCTACATGAGGTTCGCTCACAGCGGGGGCTTTTGCTCTCTCCTGAAGTGATCTCTGTGTTCACCGGAGACCGTTCTCTGCTCCTTGGAAAGTTGATCTTCGCTCCTAGCTGCCTACTCTTGGCTGTGCTTGAGTTACTCTCGGCCCTTCTCCTTCCTTTCCATCGCCAAAGCTCCATCTTGTCGTACTGTGTCCTTGCTCTCTTAAAAAACTCGCTCGTCGTAGCGATTTTCACTTCGCTGTGTTCTCTCTATCAGCACCTCCCGACATTGTCGTTCTTCTTTTCACACCCCTCTTCTCCTTCCTCTCTCTCTCTGTCTCTTCTTTTGCTACCCCTCGTTTCCTGTCTCGCTCTTGTCTTTTGCTACCCCTCTTCTCCTCTGTCTAATTGAGTAGTCTTCATTACCTTCCACCATGGCGTTGTCCCGGTATGATCCCTTTTTTGGATTTGGGCGGGATTCTGTCCTTGGATCCATGGCAGACACAATGCGGCAGATGACGACGATGCTGGGTGATGACATGTTCAAGATGCTAGATGAGCCCAGTCGCGCATTCATGCGGGAGTCGCACGCTATGGCGAACACTGCAGTGGATGTGAAGGAGACGCCCACGGCCTACCAGTTCGTCGCTGACCTGCCTGGACTTAGTCGCGAGGAGGTCAAGGTGCAGCTCGAGAATGGAAACGTCTTGGTGATCAGCGGAGAGCGCCACCGCGAGAAGACGACGAAGGGGGGAGAAGGAGGAGGAGAGAAGTATCATCGCATGGAGCGCAGCTCCGGGTCGTTCATGCGGCGCTTCACATTGCCCGAGAATTTGGAGGTGGAGAAGATTGGCGCGCAGTGCAAGGACGGCGTCCTCACCGTCACGGTACCGAAGGTTCCGCCCAAGGAGCCGGAGAAGCCAAAGGTTGTTGACGTCAACATCAGTTGAACGTTGTGGAAGTCGGACGAGTCTCAGCAAGCAAGGAAATGTATACTGATTGTGCATATGCGGGTGTTCCGTTGCGCCGTCGTCCCTGTCTGATGGGAAGCGTCGCACTGCGCAGGTGGGTAGGAAGACGGCTACGGCTACGGCAGTCGGTGCCAACAGTGGGAACGTAAAAACTTCCTGTGTGGGGAGGAATTGACAGTGAGAGAGAGAGAGAGAGAGAGAGAGAGAGAGAGAGAGAGAGAGAGAGAGAGAGAGAGAGAGAGAGAGA